AAAACTGCAACAAAGGTTAAGGCACGTAAAACTAAGGACAAAGGCAGTGACAGTAAGAACAATATTGGTAACACAAAAGCAGATTCCAGAAAACTGAATCCTAACCTGCATTCAGGGACGTCAGAGAGGTAAACTGATTATTGTATTGTATGACTGACAAACACTCAAGAAGGTGCCTCTGAAGGTGAAAAAGGGCCAAAAGAGGAAGACAGAGAATCTAACCCAGAATGCCCCACCTCCTCTAATGAAAGATGACAAGCTTATTTCCTTAGAGGGTGAAACAGACCAGGTCTGGACCGGAGAAACCAACACAATAGATGTAGACAAACCAGAGTGAAAACATTTGAAAGACAGTTTACCTACAGAACTTTGAGACCTGTTACCTCCCTTCTCCCACTAGGTCCTCAGAATGCTGTCAGCCAGGCATACACCCTTAGAGCATGAAACAACCTCCTCTGGGGACCTGACCACTCTCAGAACAAGATCCTTCGAAAATAAGAAGCCTTAATTTTGCATAAACTATTCTACAAGTAAAAGGATATTCTTTACGGAAATTCAGTCAAACTTTGGGATTATGTGACAATTTCCCTACTATCTAATCTACGGAATAATTTAAATAAGACCATCTACAGTGCCCATATCATCACTAGAGATGTTTTTTTAATATAGACGCTTGGTCTTACATTTGCCATGGTCTGCTGCAAGAGTTTCCGTGCATGGACCTCCTGGCCCTGGCCCATCGACACAAAACGGGTTTCTATTTTTAGTCTCTTCCCCAAGGCAATGATAGAATCTGTGGGGTCAGAGCCCATAGACAGGAGGCAGATGAGTGGTGTCCTTGGGTCAGATTCTTCCCATGTCCTTTCCAAGTCCAGCATAACTCCTTCTGCATAGTTTTCCCCCATGGAATCCATGATGTACTTGCGGGCCTGCCAAAGGTGGTACAAAAATCAGCACATAAGATCTCGCTCCCTCATGCACCGTACTACAGTGTGGTATCCAAAAGCCACTTCTGCAAATTTGCTCAAAGATGTCCACAGGGCAAAGATTTCTTCTACACGTGTCTGTCCGTATTGCTATTCCGTAACCAGAAAGGCTATGTTACTTTCCAGACATAAAATCATGTAGTTAGAAATTCAGAACCTATGTTAAAGGAACCCTAGTCTGGATCCCCCTTTCGATACATTAATTGCTTCTTGCTGTGCATATTAAAATAATAAGACCAGGAAACTATTATTTAAGATGCTAAGCCTAAATAGTCAAATAAGCAGCACAATTCCTGGGATATAACAAGCTCTTTCCAAATAGATAATGACTGGATGATTGTTTATTGAAATAAACCTACTGAATATTTATTCCATGGCTGAATGGATGAATGAATGAATGAATTGATTTTTAAAATATTTTTATTTATTATTTTTATTTTATGTGCATGTGTATTGCCTGCATGAAAGTGCACCCATGTAAGTGCATGCAAGTGCAGTGCCTGTGAAGGTCAGAAGAAGGTGTCAGATTCCCCTGGAACTGAAGTTTCTGACAGTTGTTAGCCACCATGTGGGTGCTGGGAATCAAACCTAGGTCCTCTGCAATAGCAGCAAGTGCTCTTAACCGCTGAGCCACCTCTCAATCCCCAAAGGAATGGATTTTTAATGCTATCCTCCCTTTCCCTTTACGGTTCTCTCTTTTCACCATTAATTTTACTTAGATAAAATCCATGTTCATAAGATCATAGCTTTGTTAACTTCATTATCAACCATAAAAGAATTTCTAGTATCCTT